TGGTTTCTGAGGTTAACATCAAACCAACAGAATTATTTGGGTTGTGCGCCTGGCTGCTGCGACATGCTGAGTCCAGCAGGCGGATCAGCAGGTAGGTGAGATCCCGCAGTTGGTTGCGACGTGTACCTTAAAAAGGTTGTTCCCCGGGTCCCCGCTTGAGAAAACAAACAACTTGTACGCTTTGACCAATTGACAGTTGAACGACTTAAAACTGTCTTCCTTGATGCGTGTTTGAGCTTCCACATGTATAAAAATGCTGTGTAATACGGCCAAAGGAACAGGGATAGCTCGGCCAAGACAGACGCCAAGCTTTTCACGAGATCCTGCTTCTCATGGTCGCTATCGTCTGATGAGATCTCTTCCACGTGCATGCTCAGGTCCTGACAGCACAACAGTGTAATTAGCACACCCTATTATAAGGGCATACTTGTGAGGCTTGCGCTGCAAACACTGAAGCTTGGACTTTTCCGCAATTGCCACCTGGCCAACATAACTCAAAGCAAACATTGTTAGACATGACGACGAAGATCTTGCCAACATGTTGTTCACGACAGTTGAAAAAATCACTTCCTTTTATAACCGACACTTTTTGTGGGTATTGGGCACGCAGACCTTGTTGAGCAAGGAAGAGGCAGCGACAGAGTCTTCTTTCTCCGTGTTCTTCTTGGGCTCCTCCTCCGGTTTCTCATTGGTGGGGTTGACCTTCTGCTCGGCGATCGCGTCGCTCTTCGCAATCTTGGCGGGCCTTGCGTTCTGCGCGTCCTCCGTGTTCTCCTGAGGTTCCTGATCACTGACCTTGACCTTCTCCGCGGCAGCTGAGTTTCTCTTCTTCTTGGCGGCCTTGGCCTTCTGCATGTCCCCCGTGTCCTCTGTGTTCTCCTCCTCCGGGCACCCATCAATGGGCTTGAACTTCTCCACAGCACCTGAGTTTCTCTTTCCCTTCTTGGCGGCCTTGGCCTTCTGCGCGTCCTCCGGGTTCTCCTTGGGCTGCTCCTCCAGGTTCCCATCAATGGGCTTGACCTTTTTTGCAGCCCCTGAGTTTCTCTTCCCCTTCTTGGCGGCCTTGGCCTTCTGCATGTCCTCCGTGTCCACCGTGTTTTCCTCCTCCAGGTCCTCCAGATTCTCCCTGGGCTGCTCCTCCAGGTTCCCATCAATGGGCTTGACCTTCTTTGCAGCCCCTGAGTTTCTCTTCCCCTTCTTGGCGGCCTTGGCCTTCTGCATGTCCTCCGTGTCCACCGTGTTTTCCTCCTCCAGGTTCCCATCAGTGGGCTTGGCCTTCTGCGCGTCCTCCGGGTTCTCCTTGGGCTGCTCCTCCAGGTTCCCATCAATGGGCTTGACCTTCTTTGCAGCCCCTGAGTGTCTCTTCCCCTTCTTGGCGGCCTTGGCCCTCTGCATGTCCTCCGTGTCCACCGTGTTCTCCTCCTCCAGGTTCCCATCAGTGGGCTTGGCCTTCTGCGCGTCATCCGGGTTCTCCTGTCGCTGCTCCTCGGGCTTGACCTTCTTTGCAGCCCCTGAGTTTCTGTTCCCCTTCTTGGCGGCCTTGGCCTTCTGCACGTCCTCCGTGTTCTCCTTGGGCTCCTCCTCCAGCTCCGTCTTCTCCTTGGGCTCCTCTTCCAGGTTCCCATCGGCGGCCTCCTCCGTGTTCTCCTTGGGCTCCTCCTCCAGGTTCCCATCGGCGGCCTCCTCCGTGTTTTCCTTGGGCTCCTCCAGCAAACTCTCCTCCGTGTTCTCCTTGGGCTCCTCCTGCAAACTCTCCTCCGTGTTCTCCTTGGGCTCCTCCTGCAAACTCCCAGCGGCGTTCGCATCCGTGGGGTTGTCCTTGTGCGCGCTCTCCATGTTCTCCGCATCTGGCAGCGGCAGCTGTGTCTCCAGCAACTGCGTCTCCGGCAGCTGCGTCCCCGGCAGCTGTGTCTCCGGCAGCTGTGTCTCCTGCGCCTCCTGCGTCTCGCTGACAAGGCCTTGCTCTGCGTCTGCCCGCTTGGCGCCCCAGTCCTGGGGATAAAGTTCTGCAAATGTTCAGGGAAACAAGAATGCGGAATTTAACAAATACTCCTCCAACCAAAACTATAAAACTCAAAAAGAGTGAGTCCCATCAAAAACAATCTCAAACCTGAGTAAGCTGATCTTACAACGGCGTGTTCACCATAGAGGCAAACCCGTGTTTGAGCCCCTCTCCTCCACGCTGACGCCCAGGTCACCCAAGAGCTCGCGAAGCTTTGCATCCTGCAAGGTTTCTGGAGGTGGGCTGAGGGGTTTGCGCAAAGGGATTTATGTTAAGAAAGGACGGTCATCAAACAAGCTTTGAAAGGAATTTAATTGATTTCGGGCCATATCAATCAGCTTCTCTTTGAAACTCATTGTTGTCAACTTAGTGGTTCTGTTTGATGCTCATTGGGGCCAAATAAGTTGGCGGAAGCACAAATCGACCTTTCTGACGTTCTCCAATTAAAAGGGGTTTTCTTCAAATCCATGCAAGGGAACTTGGCAAACATTTGTTTAATCCAGGACACACAAAGCTCCAGTGCCAGCTTGCCAACATCGATTCATGAGAGAAAGTCTCAAAATTGACAAAGCGAACCTTCAAATTATTCAATCGGTCGCATTTCTTTGCCATGACAGGCCTCTTCTTGGAAGGGGTTCTTGTGTTTGTCAAGTCGTCTGCCTTCTTGGGAATCTAAAAACTGGCAGTGTTTCGCCAAGTCGACGTTCTCTTTGTTGTACCTGGTTTGACCCCCCTGGATCAAGTTAGTGTTTTCTTTGGAGCTCATTGCTTTCAAAAAGAACATCGAAGCAAGCGGAGTTTGGATGGGAGTACGAAGCAACCCCCTGTATACGATGTAGCTTTGATGAATGCACTTAGCACTTGGAAGTTGGGCATCGTTTTGGCGGACAAAGAAAACGTGTTGCCTTAAAATGTGCAGCAGTGCTAAATCGGAAGCAGTTTTCCTTCAAGGCTGGGTGCGGCTTTGAGGGATATGATAAATTCTTCTGAAGTGGGTTGGGCGTTGTTTTGATGGGATTAAGAAAGAACATTCTCTTGGAAGAGGGTTTGTTGGAAACATAGAGCACCCCTCATTTGGAAGTTGGGGCATGTTGCCCTGCACGATCCCGATGGCGCATTGGCAATGAACAGATCATTTGTTTGATCACTTGTTTGAATCGATTGAAACCCAACTTTCAATCTGAAGTGTTTGGAAAATGAAACGCGAACGAACGACACTCAAGACGGAAGCTCCTTAGGAGGCTGCGGCTTGTAGATGGTGGCCTTCATGCAGCTGCAAAGGCGTCTGATAGCCCAAGCTTGTTGGTATGCTAGCTCCTCCCCTTTCTTGTTGTGGTACTTCATCAGCAGGATGCCCACCTGCTCTTGCAAGCGGTCGATGGGAGGTGGTTGCAACCCATGTTGGGCCATGAGCTTGAAAATCGGGCTGAGCACCGTGGCATTGTGTCTGATATTGGCCTGGTTCTTCTCCACATAGCAGTCCATGGCTACCTGGCCAGTCCAGTGCTGCACCAAGTTGTGGGACCCTCGTAGGCGCTCTCGCAAGTCCCCCAAATCATCCCACATCCTCGCAAGGCCATCTAGTGCAAAGGCTTTTTCCCCCGAAGCCGATTCTCTGGGGCTATTCAGCGGCGAAGCCCCCTCAGACTCCATGGTCTGCGTGCAAAGCAAAGCCATGCACCGATACTGCAGGAGAGCTGGATCCAGTGAGCGGCTGCAGCGGACGGGTTTATGGCAAGGCACTTCATTAATTGCAATTGCAGCTTCATCAGTGGTTTATTTTCATGGCCCAATGGCATGATCAAGATATCTCAAACAAAGCTGTGCACGCATGCACGTGTGACTGCATCAGTCCTTGACGGCGCCGCTCTGCCAAAAGCCATGCACAGGTCGGTGCAGGGTTAAAAGAAGAGTGAACGTGCAATATTGCTCATGGAGTATGAAAATATATCAGTTCATGTTAAAAGATGCAGCCAACACCGCACAGTTGGCTTTCAGGATTTGAGCCTGCATGCCAGCGCTGCCTTTCAAAATGATTGCAATCGGCCGTCAACAGCTGAATTTGAGCACTTTCCCGGAGTAGAAAAAGTTACTCCAATGCTCAAATAGTACCTTTTTTGGCTTGGAGTGCTTTTTCCTACTCCAGGCGAGTAGCAGGTAAAACTCTTGATTCCCTAAGAGCCAGGACCCTGGAGCCATTGCGTAAACAACCTCCCTTGGGCCTCCCTTTTAATTGGCCCAGGCCTGCTTGGTGTCAACAAACCCGGTAAAGGTTGGGGAAAGCACCAAACCGAAGCCAATCCACAGAACTGGAAACTCCTGGTCTGAACTTTGACTCACGCCCTGGGCTGTCACCCGTGACGGAAAAAAGTTACCGACTCGGTGGCTTGGAACACACCCACGGTTCCCAATTCATAACACAGATATCTTAAGGGCGACGATGTTGGCTTTCCGCGGAAACCATGCCCTCGGAAAAATCAAAATAATAATTATCCGCTCAGGTGATATCCCCAACAGCACGCGGTGCTCTTTTTAGTGCTCGCACCACCCCGCAGCCCTCGGAACCCTGGTGGAACCCTGGTGGAACCCTCGTGGAACCCTCGTGGAAACTTACCTCAGGGCCGCCCCGGACCACCCCGGAGCCTATCTGGGCTGACACCCCAAAGCTTTCAGCTGTTGGGGAAAAAAAGACAAGCAGAGTTTCCAGGCCTTCCCTTACCATCAAAAGAACCCCCCTTGAGTTCCGGATTGGACCTCCCACATTTCAGGAACCCATGGATTCTTGTTTGGCACTGTCACATGCGTATCTCTTCTTTTGGTTCACCCCACAATGGTGGCCTTTGCTTTTGGTTTCCCTTTGAATGTACGAACAAAATTAATCTTCTCAGGGTGACACCACAATGCCTGGCTTCTCCGGGTTCTCTCTACAATCACCAAAAAGGGCAACTCCGAGAAGTAACACGTTCTTATCCCTGTCACATGACTGCCAAGATCAGGCCTGCGCACACCAGAACTTCACCTGCCAAAGGGTGGAGCCGAATAATGCAAAACATCCAAGATGAGGCTGACAAAGCTAGGTAAGGCTAAAGCACACTTTTCATTTGTTGGATCATGGTGCATTTCGAACGGGTTGAACAAAATGAAGGGACGGATATGGAACGACTGACTGTTCGTCCCGACATGGGAACATGTTACGTGTGGTTCATGTTCTTTTGTTTATTTTGTTTATCTGGGTACCCCAAACCCATAGACCAATCATATGGGGTAACTTCCCATTTCTTTTTCGGGATCCGAATATTTGAGAAAACCACCAGCTCCTGGAAAGCAACTCATGACAGGATGAGCAAGTCCCAAAGTGGGGGGGTGGGGGTGTGACTTCCTGGTGTCCCTTTGCCTTCCAAAGCGCCTCAAGCGCGTCTGTTTGGGAGAAGCGGTCCCAGCAGATCCTCCAGCCTCGGAGCGAGAAGGCTGGCCGGTGGGCACCCTCAATTTCCAGTTGTTCCACCTCCAAAGGTGGCTTTTTTGAGATCCAGAGGCTGAAGCAAGAAAAGGCGGCAATCCAGTGGCAGTCACTTGCTTGCTTCCGTTGATTCCCCGCCTTACCCAAGTCCCCTTCCTTCCTTTTTTGGCCCCCCCCCCGGCACACAGCCAAGCGCTCGGCCATCAGGCCGCGCCTTGATGCCGTCGCAGTAGGCATTGGCCTGTTCCCGCACCTGTTTGTTCAACTGGGTGTGGGTCAAAAATTGGTTCTCTAAATGGAATCCTGGCAACTGGAAACATGGACTAAAACCTGCGGTCCCCTGGTGCTTTAATTTTGACCCATCCCCAACTTGGGCCAGAGACCCAACGGGTTTGTCTGAGCCGTCGGCATTTATTGTGTTGCCTGATGACATTGAAGGCTGGTGAGAAACCTCCATTCCCTTTACTACAATACAGAATCACAAATATTGACTGGTGCTGGTCTCAGGATGGGTCGCAATATGGGTGAGCCCACAAAATGGCGGTTTCACTTCCAGTCTACTGGTCCGCGTCGCACAACCCTGGATGCACTTCACTTCAGCAGCGCTTGAAACCCGTTTACTGTTGGTTCTGCCAATCTGGTTAAAGGTACAACGCCAGGTGAGCAATCCAATCACTTGAAGGGTACGTGTCAAAAGCCCTTTTGCTTCCCCTTTTAAAGCCATCCCACAAAAGGGTCCCAGAACATGAAACACCAGGACCTGCCGAGCGCCCAGCGGCCGCTCCGATAGACCTCAATGGTCGAACCGAAAAACCTCAACCTGGTGCATCACTGGGGGCGGGCAACGCTCCAAGTGATCCGGATCCCCGCATCACTGGTAATATATGAATCAAGCCAGACTTCGTTGATCCAGGATTCCCAGTGTTGGGAGAGTCTGGGCACATCCCAACTCCACATTGTCATCTTGGGTCCCCGCGGGTCCTGGGTGAATATCACTCGAATGGCTCGCTCAAAGTCCTTGGCCAACGATGTCGCATAAGACATGTTTCTTTGGTCCAGCGGAATGAACGTGTCATGTGCTTGGTCCAGACATACAGAACCTCAGCTGAAATATGCCAAGATCTTGTTGGTTCCCGATATCTGCTTTAATCTGGCAGCACGCACTGCACCTCGTGCTCATGCCTCTGCAAACCCCACGGACGTTACCGCTGCACGCCTCTACTCTGGTTCAGTGCAAGTCGCATCCATCCCACACTGCGCTCCGCCCCATTTGTAGGCCAAAAAACTGCAGCTGCCGGAGGAAGCTTGCAGGCCAAACATAGCGCCAGACAACATGCGTCTTTTTCCCAAAACCCCCAGGGTTGGATAAAAGACCTCCAATGCTGAGGTGTCCTTTTGTTCACCAACTCAGCGTTGCGCACTGGCCCTTTCCGCCGGATTCAACGAGTAACTGCTAGGGCATGTGACCTGTGCTTCGCAGCGTGTCACAGCACCAGTCTTATTGCTGCTCGTTGGTCGTTCTGCCACAAGATTAGCCAATCTCCATGGCAGTCGGGCCGCCCTCCTGGCGATACAAACCCAAACTCGACACGTGTGGATTGGAAGTCCCGGGATCTTGGAACATTGGGTCTGTTTCGAAGTAGGTGAACCCCCCCCCTTTTGGGATGGTTTTTGCAACCGAAAGCAAACCAACCACCGAAAGAAGGAGATAAAACCCGCACGACTGAGGCATGATCGCAAGACTCTACTCGTGTGCAGTCTCCAAATCAGCCAACCCACAAAAGGCGTAAGTTCCCTTGGATTTCCCTTCAGAACACCTCGCGCTTGGACCCGGCATTTTCGGGCATCTTCCTCTTGGTTCAAAACAGCATTCGAAACCTGCCGACGTTTGCTTTTTGGGCGCTGTTCGTTTGAGCCACGGAAAGAATATGCGATGCAAACGACATGGGGAAAAAAGTGAGTTGCCTGTATTTCTTGGGTGGGCAATCCCAAGAGTCGCCCCAAGTCCCTCCCAAATATACCATAAACATAGACCATAGACTACTGAAACTTTAGCTGCGCCTCCTTCGAATCCAAGCTATAATCCCCCCAAGAAACCCGGCAGTGGGAACCCAAACCAACACTTCACCTTGCCATTTCTCATGCGCAATGGCCATTGGTCAACATCGGTACCCCCAGCGAACGTCGCAATCCCCACTAAAATAGGTTCTAAAATGGGTGGTGAATTCACCTACCAACCAAAATGGGATCCCAAAACGGTTTTGACAACCACAAGCAAACGACAAGAGGCGACCGCCTCCGGCTTTGCGGCCAGCTCCCTCCGCACTTCCGGGCTCACCTGACGAAACAATTTCGCGGGCGCCAGCCGGCCATGTCGCGGACGTCCGGTTCGCGGACGATGTCGTGTTTTTGCAGGCCGTTTGGTTGGGAATGACATGGTTCCATGTGGATCTTTAGAGGCACTTCTTGTGACACCCCATGTTGATTGAAGGTGGCAGGGAGACTATGCTTCCTAAACCTGGCAGACCACAAGAACCAGCAAAAGATACAAACACAAGTTACAAGTTACAAGTTGTTGCATGACTGCCACGTGCCAAAGCCTGATGCTTGGCTCTCGAATAGTAAGAAGAAGACACGAACCTGACATCGGATCCTCTCGGGCCAAGCCCCCGGCCGCGTCGTGGAAGTGAATCCGCAGGAGCTCCTGCGGGCTTGCGGGCTGGAGAGACGCCTGGGTCCCAACCAGCCAGCGTCAGCGGGCGAATCCAACCTTAATTAAAGGGAACCAAAAACAACCAGGAAGCAAATGGATAAAGCCATATTTTTGGGAATCAACTCTGAACCCAAAAAAGCAGCTAGAAAACGATCCCTTCTACCCTGGACATACAAACCTACCAATAGACGCGGGTGGGGCCAAAGCCCATGGACCTCTTTCAGACCGGGTGTCTCAACCTTGGTACCAAGACCTGAGGCCGGCCTGCATGCAAATCAGATGCACATCGCGAAGGAAGAAGATGGTTTGCCAAATGGGTTGCTTCCCAAAATCGTGGTCCCCTAAAATTGTCGTGTTTCCTTTCCCTTTCCACTGCCCAAAGGGGTGGAACTCACCATTTTGAGAACCCCCCAAACAGCCCCAAAGCTTTCAGACCTGCGCGCGTCCTTTATCCGCCTCTTTTGATCAGGTGAGAGGTCGAACTTGTACCTCCTAGGCTCAGCGGAGCGAATGAGGCACCGGCAAAGATCAGATTCACCAGAGTCTGCCTGCTATGAGCACTCAGCCACAGCCACTTGTGAAGGATGCAGTTTGCCGCAAAAAGAAATCAAGGAACATGCCGGCACAAAGCTCTGCTGCTGAGCTCACTCCTAACCCTTCCAAACCTTCCTGGATGATCCACGATTTTGAAAGATCTGGGATCGTCAAAGTCAGAAACATGTCCCTTCAACATAACACTTTCGAGAGTCTGTGTGTGTCTCTATGGACATTGACAAACCAAAGAGATAGACTCGGGTGACGGCCTGGTTTCCCTTGCTGCCAAGTGGCTGGACAAAGATGAGCAGCGCCCTGTGCCACACCTAGGCACAAAGCAAAACGTGCAGGCCCAGTGCGGGTATGTCATAGCTTCGGGACCGCTTCTGGCTGGCTTCAGGATTGTTTCTTTCAGTCTCCTCACATTTGGTTTTCCTCTCAAACCCCATCCAGCAGCGCCCGGAACGGTCCCTTCTCAGCCGGCCATCCTTCCGCCGCAAGTTCCTGAGGCCTGGGCTAGGGGCAGTACCCGCTCCTCGCCCGCAAAGGCGCAGAAGTGGGCCACCAAAATCTCGATGACCTTCAGAGGCAGCGCGTACCTCGCAACTTGCGAGGTGCGCGGACGTGGCTTTCCAGTTGGCACGGGAGGGACGGAACCCGCATCTTCATGTCTGACCCAGCACCACGGGAATTGGATGAGTCTGGAGAAATGGCCATGTTCAAACAACGCAAGAGGTGCCAACTCCGAAAAGACCAAAAGCCCCTGCCAACAAAAACGCCGCCGAGCAGCTTCTTGTTGAGCTGCGCTGCGAGGAGAATAGAGGTGGTGCCATACCAGGGCGTCATGGTCTCGACACGCGTCCGCTTGACACTATTTCAATTGGCGGTGCTCAGAGGGCCACCATTTCGACAATATCTGACTAGAGTTGATTTACTGCATGCTGGCAAGGAACACTGCTATGACAACAAGTCATCCCAACCCAACTTTGTACCCAGGGGTGAATCTGCAAGCTCGGGGGCCCTGGTTGGCGTTTTAGGGGTAGCCACCCTGTCTAAGGAGTCCTAATTTTGCACACACTCACCTCACCCGCATTGCCTGCCTTCATGCTGGCTGGCTCACAATGCAACCAAGGCACGGCAAGTCTGACAATACAGGCAGCCACCTCTGCAACCGAGAGATCTCATGAACACGTGACCAACGCCAACGGCCGCCGGATCTGCCCCGTTCTTTCTGAGCTTTGCGCGTGCATCACTGGAACCGACGCCTTCGACAGCACCGAGCCCATGATGACTGCCTGACCGCACCGCAAGGCCAACAGAACCCTCAGGCCCTCGCTGCGGCCTCTCTGAGTGTGCAATTCTCCGCAGCCAGTGGCAGAAGGATGCCCTGGACGCGAAGCTGAGAACCGAAAGCCAAGGCCTTGATTCCGACCTTGAAGAAGGCCGCAGGCTTGAAGAGGGACTTGCGAAGCGCCCTGGACTTGAAGCTTTGAAGTTGCCACAAAAAAACACAAATAACACGCCTGAAGTAGTGGAAATTCAGCTTCTTGTGCCTCGCATGTCAAGCCCTGCATGCTTTGCTGCTGGCCAATCTTGGGAGATGGTATTGAGGGAACGCCTCTGAAGGCGGTCCCATGGCCGCATGACCCCAACTGCCGAGCTCCACCTGAGGCCTCCACTCCCCAATGTCCTGTCGCACGGCCGGAAGCAGCACCTCAGAGCTACCAAAGCCCGAAAAGCAAGCGCCTCTTTCTGCACCCGGGTCGTCGGAGCCATTTCCAAAGCTTGGCAGGATTCCCGAACTGTGATGAATCGGGAAACAAAAATAAGAAGAAAAAAAAAGAAGAGGAAAAAAAAACACCTGCATGCTTCGGAATGTGAGCCCCCATTGCCCACGTGTAATTTTGCCTCCAGAATTTCATCGTTGAGCTTGTCAATCTTTTGAGTGCCGCACCAAGTTGAAGAATCGCTGCGCCATGCCTTGTAATCACGCGCAGGATCGCTTATGACATGGGGACATCAATCTGTGCAACCAGGACGGTTGATTCTTCAAATCCCGCCAGAAGAAACTAGAAACCAACCAACTTAAATGACGCAAGTCTTGTGCTCCCGCCCCTCCGGGATCTGGGCGAATCAACCAATGCCAATGTGCTGATTGCATCCAGAGCAACGAGGATTCAGGTTGGAGACAAAGATGCAAGACGCCTGACAGGTCACCGAGTCACCAGTGGCAGTGAGACACCCGCTCATATGTCGGGAAAAAATGCGCAACGATCGCCGGCCCTGTTTTGCTCAGCGCAGTCCTGTTTTGCTCAGCGCAGTCCCTGCGGGCGAAGCACGAAGCACAAGCTGCCCGTCATCTAAGCGAGGGTCCCCAGCTGTCAACGAAAAGCTACATGGGGCATCCCCGGGTGAGGCTCTGAGGGGCTGCTTGGCAGCCCGGGACATGACGCACTTGGCTATGTTTGATGGTTGGACCACCTTCAAGAATAGTTGCTGCACATGAAGACCCAGGGCCCATGTCCAATCACATGTCACGCTCACTTTCACTGCTTCCAGCCAGGCGCATCTGAATAGAGCCTTCCGAGATACACAGCAAGGGCAAAGACATGCACATCTTCACAGGCCTGCCCCAGTCGTGTCTCTTGTGTGAAATCTGCCTGTTGAGCACCGAAGGAACCTGGTTGACCAGCCGGGTGAAAGCGGCCCTTGCAACTATTGACCAATGCACTTAGCCCCAGTCAGTGGTTGTTTTGCTTGCAACGTCCCGAGAAGCCCAACCACCCTTCTTCCTCAGTTTCAGCCTTGCAGCCTCAGGCGGGCGCAGGCTTCCCGCCGATGATTTGCATCTTTGGAAGCGTGGGCAAGGAGCTGGACGCCTCCCGAAGCCCGAGCCGACTTTGGTGGACCCTATGATCACAAATTGGTGGGCGAGGCTTGAATGGTCTGCTTGTGGGAATGGCTTGAAATCTGCAGATGGTTGATCTCAGGTTGGCATGTCTGAGCATTTGAACCCAAAAAGGGGTCCAACTCTCGCTTTGATCAAAAGGGCCCTGTACTACTTGTGGGAGAGATTGCTCGGATCGCAAATCCTGGATGCTGGCGGCCTGAATGTTGCTCTTTTGCGCTCCTCGGGTTCTCATATCCCCATCCCACCTAACACACAATCTGATTGTGGCTTCACCAAACGTGGCGGACGATCGAGTCCTTTCTGAAGCTTTGCTGCCAGATCAGGACGATTCTGAAGGAAGAACTTCAAGTTCCACTTCTCTTCCTCTCAGGGTCCAAGATGAATTCTGGAAAAGCGAACCCGACAGCCTGGTTCCAAAATGTTCAAACGTTTTCGGTCGAACCAAAGAGCCAAAGCTTTCCAAGGGTCGCTGACCTACCATTCCAGCGGGCCAAGTCAAGTGAGGCAGGCGCCTTCTCCATCAACTCATCGTAGATGGTCCGCATGGCGTCAGGCTACGGCCAGCTACAGGCCGCTTCAGCTGCAATCTTCAGCTTGACCCGGTATGGCACGGCGCAAAACACAAGTTCATGCATTGCCACCTCACTCCCTCTCTGTCTCTCTCGCTCTTAGACGTTTCTTTGTTGAGGGTAGCCCGGTTAGAGCGGCTTTAGCCAGAATTCCAGGGGAACCCACCCGTTTTGCTGTTTTCCCTCGTTTGGAACACCCCACCACACCTGGTACATGGCAGCTGGGCTCCATGTCAGGGGCGACGTCAAGGCCAGCACCTTGCGGGGCCAAAGAGTCGAACCAGCTATACTTTTCAGGTCGAACATGTTCCAACAGACCTCGGACATCAGTGCAACAAGGCTATTAAAATACCAGTTGGATATGAATTGAAACGTGAAGCCGTTGGTGGACATCGAACAATCATGGAAATTGAGCAGGGTGTCCAAGAAACATAGCCACCGTGCTGCTCCCTGAGTCCAGTGCAAGTAGAACTCTCAGCCCTCCCGGGCCTCCTCCCAGTTGGTCAAGCTGGGAATGACCTGCGCTTTTGGCGCTGTGCAAGTGCGACTCTGTTTGTTGGAGGTAGCCTTGTTGGGGGTTGTGCCGAAAACCGGGGCTCCACGGCAAACCCAAAAAATGCCGATCTTCCCAAACCTCACAACGGAAACACCCCCTTGAAGAAAACATGTCCCTGGGCTTCTAAAGGTGGGGAAAAGATTTTGGAAAAACAACCAGACCCCGGCCATTGTGGGGCAACTTAATGGGACCAAAAACAATAGATCTTCGAACAGCTTGGTGGTTAAAACCAGGGGATTGAATCGAATCGAAACCAACCCCGATGGCCCTTTGGTTGTCCTTTTTCACTAAGCCCCCCTGAAAAAAAAAGGTACCAACTCCGGCACAGAGAAAGATGAAAATTATGAAAAGCCGTTTGTTTTGTTTTGTTTTCCCCCGGACTCGGTCCTTGAAGGCTTTGGGCATCGCCCCGGACTTGTAGAACCGCAGGAACTTCCCGATCTCCGTGTAGACCTAGCCAGAAAGGGCGGCTGAGGTTCCTTGTCTTGGCGGATGTCTTTGCGGCTTGGGTGTTCTTCTTTTGGAAGGTGTCTTGTGGGGATGTCTTCCGAGGGAGGCTTTTTGGGGGGATGCCTTTAGGGTGTCTTTTGGGGATGTCTTTGCGGTTGTGTTGGCTGATGTCTGTTGGAAGACATTCCTCGAGGGAGTGTTGGGGGGGTGTGGTTAATGTGTTCGGGGGATGACTTTGGGGATGTCTGTGGAAGGGGTCTGTGGGGGAAGGGGATGTCTTTCGGGCTGTCTTGACCTGGTCTTCGAGCCCCGAAGGGGCAGGTTTGGGTTGGGCTTTCCTAACAGGGCGTAAATCCAACGAATCAAAGGGCAGGGCCCGCTTTTCTTACAAGTCTGCAGTTATCCATGCCTGGAACGAGGCATGGCTCTGTGCATGCCCAAGATTTGAGGCAAGCTGGAGACAAGCCAGAATCCTACCATTTGCCGCAATTCGCCATTGCCGGTTATCTGTTGCTGGTTTCGCAAGGCGATCCACCATAGCCTCCGGATTCCAACCACTTACTCGGAAGTGGCCGGAAAGTTGAAGAGTGATAAATACGGGAAATACAGAACGTGGAAGAAACAACAGAACGACACTGGAGGCAAGCAACAGAAATCAGCAATCAGGCCAGGCACCTGAACTACTTTCGGTGATAGGCCACCATCCTCACTGGGAGCACCTTGGATTCACATCCAAAGTTCATGGCGAACGACCACTCCCGAGGACAAATATGTCTCTCTCCCTCTCTCTCTCTCTCTCACTTTCTCGCTGTGGACTTGCTGAGTAGCTATGAGTAGCTATGAAAAAACACACGGCTTGGCTCAAAATTCGGGGGACCTAAAAACGATTGATTTGCGTTGGTCTCCAAGCTCACCAATAGTTAGACCTGCTACAAGGAACCATTAAACAGCTCTGCAATGCATCCCGTCCGGGTCACCACAAGCAGGGTGTGTCTGACCAACGCTTAAACAAAAAGGCACCCCCAGCCAAGAAGCTGTCCCCCGCCGCTTTCCGGGCCTCTGCCTCCTGAGTTCGGTCTGCAAAAAAGCGCAAAACCGATCTAAGTCTGAGAAACCAACCCGTTCCAATGGCTGGTTCGGTTTCAAAAAAGGGCCTCCTCTGGTTGGCGCTAGGAATCCAAAACAAAACAAGTCACTGAGGACCCTTGTATCAAACCCCGATGGAAAACGGCCGGTTCCTTTTCAAACAACCTTGAAACCGTGCAGGTGCACGGAAGGGTCTTGGAAGACTCGCATCATCTTAATTTTACACAGGGTCTCCTCTCCTCCTCCATATTTATGGAACAAGGGTACAGGGAGAAGAAAGGACCACACCCAATGTTCTCCTGGATCTTCTGCAGGATGATATCTGCCAGCGTCGGCCCTGCCTTCCGAAGCCATCTCTACAAGCCCAAAGTTCGGCAATGGAATGTGTCGAAAAGTCGTAACGGACTCTTCCCAATAAACAACAGGGCCAGGGAAACCTCGGGTGGGTCGTTTTGAATTAACAAACTTTGGACCCTTCAAAATTCCTCCTTTTGGCCCAGGTCCTTGTGGGCAATAGAAGGATTGATTTCAGTTGACTCAAGCAAAGGTGGGCCAAGCAATGGTGGCCGCCTTAAAGGCAAACGTGCCCCAAGTTTGGAAGTCCTACGCTCCGGATGCAATGCAAGTCGGCACCTGTCCCAGCTTGCTCAAAGGCAACCCATTGCACTGACTGTCGAACCGACGCGTGGAAGTGCGAGTCAAGTCCTTCCCACTTGCCATATGCCAATGCAACTGCCAACTCGCCTGCGAGGCAGTGCTGCTTGGCAGGAACAAGGACATGGCCTTATGCAAAGGGATGGCTTTCATCCAAGACTATCGCTTCACGCAAATTCTGAGTGCTGGCACCCTCTCGTCTTCTTCTGACGCATTGGGCCCCACAATGTATCCATCCTGCCAAGCAGGAAACAAGTACGCCGATGTGTTCCTGCACATTGGCCCCGGCACCTCGTCCACTTCGACATCAACCTCCTCCACAGCCTGCGATCAATCGACCGCTGGCAAATGGATATTGCTTGTTTTGGTGCAATAAACCCCTGTTCAAAGAGTCTTGAAGACTCCTTTTTCAGGTCCGTGTTGACCCGAATCACTGCTAGCTGCCCACATCGGGACTGGTTTGGCGCCGTTGCTGACATCTTGGGGTGCCTCTTGTCAAACCCTTCAATGGGGTTCGAAACCGCAGCTTTGAGCCGCATGGAGCCTCGTCGTCATTGCCACCAAAAGAAGCATCTGCAGCATCGTCAAACTCGCCGTCTGCATCATCGTCTGCCTTTTGTGCCTGAACCTGGGCATCCAAGTGAAATATCTCGAAATCAATTCCAGCCTCAAATGCATCAAAGGCTGCTTACAACAGCTCAGCTCTTGAGCAAAACCTGGCTTGCCGAGAGTATAAGCTGCGCACCATTCCCAATACCTTCTTGGCAACGCTAGAGGGCACCACTGCGGTCCCGTCCTAGCGAAAGAGAACTCGGCCGAAGCTCCATGTCCAACACGTTCTTGCCTCCTCCTCATCGCCCCCACGATTCTGTTTGGCTCGCCTTGTCAAGCGCGCGCTGAATTTGCGCTCAAAACGCCAAGGGTTGAGAACAGCACGGCGTTCTTCGGATTCCACGGTTGTCCTCCTCCTGACACAAGCCGCGCCATTAAACAGGCGACGTTAGAGGGGGGAGAAAGGGAGCCGTACCTCCAGGATGTCATGAGCCAGCGGATTGTGCCGCATGCTTTTGGACACCTGGCGCTTGCCACGCTTGCCTCACCCTTACACTCCACGTTGAATGTGCATGTGCAAAGGCCTTCGTCCTGGTTTGCTTCGGCATGTTGACAAGTTACGGCTCAAATCACAGCTGGCAACAAGTGATGCGTGTTGTGCAACTAAAAAAAGCACGATGCTGCGTGCGCTGTCTGGATTTGTCGAACAAACACAATGTGGAAACATATGATGTCTTGTTTGTGGCTGTAAAAGCATGCACTGCATTGATTCTCGCGGTCGCTGTCAAAGCTCTGTAATGGCTGGAAAGTTGAATGCAACATGCAAGTAAGCTGGGCAGATGCGCAACAAGAAAATCTGTGCGAATCGTTTGGCACACATTGTCATTCTAAAAACTGACGAGCAACTACAACCAGGAGACACGATAAGCAAACTGCGATTCAAATCCAACATACATAGGCGTTGCCTGATTTTCTGTCTAATCCAAGCCGTTCACGCCACACCGTGCAGGTAACCTGTGGGTTCAGACCAACCCACGTCTTCCTGTGCAAACTCACGCAAAACATGATGTGGAGCCACGAAACAAGCAACAACCCATCGAACGGAATCCAGTCGAACCCAATGGATGAATGAGGGGGGTGCCCCCAGAAAATCTAAGGATTCCCTTCGGAAATGGGACGTTCACCAAGGAGGTTGTGCATCAACTATGTGCCCACTATACACAAAAAGTTTCCACAAATCAGCACCAAATGTGATGTTTCCAGTGTTTCATTGTGTGTGTGTGTGTGTCACATATACGGTTCCTACACATGTATGTTGTCGCGTTGGATGCGAATTGTTCCCAAAGAGCGCCCCTAGATTCGACTCAACTCGACACATGCCGACATTCACCAATCAAAAATTGTTATTTTCGCACGTTATTATTTTTGTTGGCACGCATACGCACAATAAAATCCCGATGCGCGGCACAGGGCAAAATCAGCACGCCATCCTTCTTGCCTGAAAAGCATGGTGCAGAATGGCTTAGGCCTAACTGGCAGCCGATCAGCGGGCTACGTTCCAATGCGTGCAAACTGTCCCACGCCAGCATCCCGCAGCGATCTTTCGTAGGATGAAAGGTTGGCTGAAAGGGTGATGGTCCAGGCTTCCTGAAAAGGGTGATCAGCACGCTAGACGGCTTGACTTGATGACCACGTTGTTCCAACTCTCGCCACTCCGAATGGTTACTCATCAAACCTCAAACGGGTCGAAGCACGGTTGTGGAACCTTTGCATTCCTGGGGCCACCTGAACACCAGCTCCATCCTGGTGACGCCAACCTGGGCGTTCGTTCTCCCAGCAGTCGGCTGGCACGCTCTTCAAAGTGCTGCAAACATGGTCAGTGTCTATGTCCTTAGCCTTGGCGTCCCCACACCCTGAACCATGCTAGATGACACAAATCAAGTGTCGGAAAAATGAGGCCTGCCTTTCAATCCTGAGTCATGTCATGCCAACTGAACTGAAATGAATCTTTTGAAAATGTGTAGTGGTTTAAGACGATGCGGAAGCCTTGAAACTTGGTGTCAACACAATTGATCAATTTTTACGGATGGGTGATCGGAAATGATAGCAGCTTCAGTGAAAACATCATGCGTTGTACTACTTGTGGGTCGAACGCCGTTTCATTGCCCCTGCATTGGCGTCTTGACCCATTTGGCGCAGAGCGCAAGGCTCTAATTTAATGATGATTTTTCATACTCAGCCGTTTCCCAACGCCGGTGCTCGGCACAGTTGACTTGGCACAAGTCCGCAGACTTTGCTCTTGCTTGCCAACCTGATGCCAGGAAGACAAATAGGCGTCTTGGTACAGCCGCAACCACTGTAGGAAGAAGCGGAACGGTGAGAAATGGAGCCCAACCCAGGCTCTGGAGAAACACCCCTCACCGCATCCAAGCACGCACACACTCCCACAACATCTGCACCATTAAGCAAAATTAGCTTATGCCTCAGACTAGCCCACTGGCGCAAAGTTATCAAGTAGAACATCACTTTTTGCTCACCCGGATTGTGCGCAAGCGGACACGGCCCGTATCAACGCAAATTCAAGCCAGCAATTCTGCTTTAAGACGCAGCCCCCCTAATCCGCCACAGTACTTTTCTCATCTGAAAGGAGGAGCTGACAGATGTTTTTCAAATGGCCGTTGCGATCGGCTGTTTCAGTGCAAAAAAACAGAAAGCCAATGTCAAAGATTGAGAAGCACTTACTGAAACAAACAAGAGCCCAGACCAAACAACAGCACAACAAAAACATTGACAAAATGGAAAAGCTGACTTAACGCCAAACAATTGAGCATCAAAGCAAGGCAAAAAAAAACACTCCATCACTGCACGTTACTACTCATCAGATTTGTTGCGCCAGCTTTCTACATGCCTGCGGTCCTTAGCACCCTGCTTGTGTAAAAACCAACAGACGTTTGCTTCGATCCTTTCTTGAAGGCTGTCTTCCAGGATTGTAGCCATCTTATTCTTAGGTATTTGTGTACGTAGCAGAATGCGCGAATAGCACTCTGTGGCTCGTATCTACACGTGCTTGGACGGCAAAACAGGCGTGTTCTTGCTGGGCCTCGTGGGACTCACAGGCGCAGCTGGAAGTCCCTTGATGTTAGAATCTTGATCACTGCTTCAAGCCGTAAGGGAACATGCAGCAAAAAACAAAAGAGTACGACCGACAAATGGTGCGCTTGCTCTTTTTCTTTATGAGGCGTTGCTTGGAAGTCAAGGCTCGGGGGTGCAGGGAGAAAGACAATGCGTGTCCTTTCCCCGTGCCTGCACCTTTGCGCGGGGCCTTCTCAAATGCCCCCACTTCAGGGTTCCAAGCAAACGGCCTAATCTATCGCCCCCTCTTCAGAGCGTTTGCGAAGCACTTTTATGCTCCGGCCGCCATGGTGCGTCTGCCGGATGCAATAACAGCGCGGATTTATGGGGCCAGAAATCATGTGGGCGAAACCGAAAGCGAGCATGCGGCTTGCTGTCAAATGCGGATGTGTTTCCGCGGCTGAGCTGATCAGCGCACACGTTGTGCTCGCCTGGGATGCGCGATGCTAGCACTGACCATTTGTGCTTGTAGGCCCATGCGGCTACTAGTTGCACAAAGATCTGCAAAGGCCATGCTGTGGTGAACAGCTTGTTCACTCCGGCTTCGGATGCGGTGTTGTCCGTGCTGGAAGGCATGCATAGGCCGTGCGCTGCTTGGCCCTCGGTGGTCCACGCGACCCGCATGAGCGCGAGCTGGGCCAAGGTTTCGAAGCAAGCTATATGGCGTTGGGCCTCCTTGGACGGCCACTTGTTGAAAGTCCCAGGTTTCCGCAAACCAGGAAACGGACCGGCTGGAAATGAACCAGCCGTTTGCCTAGGCCGCCTCCAGCAGCTCGACGCGCCCACGTACAGGTGGCGCAGCGTGAGGTGGCACGACTCCAGGTCCAGGCAGACGTGGTTGTGGAGGGTGAGCCCCTGGCAGCTGGCGTAGGTCACGTGGCTTGGCCGGGTGTGCCCGGCTCCACTTCCGCCACGGCCACAAAGACTCCTTTGGGTATCTTTCCGCCGGCCCCGATGGGGCGCAGCCCCGGCCAAACTCTCATGCTCTGCGGGCTGTTTTGGGGTGTTGCAGTTTGGCAATGGAGCGTTGCCCATTCGCAACACACATTGGTTGTTGTAGGTTGACAACAATCTATGTGGATGACTTGTGTCTCCAATTGGAGCAGCTTCGAGCCCTCTGGCGCCAGGGCCCGGTTCGCCGATGGGTTGACGGCCATGCGCTTGCTGTGGCTGATGACCAGCGTGGTGTCCGGTAGAGCTCCTTCACCCCGCAGCCACTTCACGAAGTTGAAGATGCCGGGATCGGAGCGCATGTTCTCCGTGAGCTCGTGCCGCCGGCCAGGTCACGGATTAGTTGGCTGTGCTCCAACGGTGCGCTGATGGGCCGCCCGGCCCAGGAGTCCAGCACGGCCGGAAGTCGCCCAGCAGCAAGAACTTCACGTCGCGGTTCAGCAGAGCGCCATGTCCAGCTGCGTGATCTCCTCCCGACCAGCCAGTCCAGCTCTTGCGCGCTGCCGCTGCGCACCCAGTCATCGGCCGTCTGCGCCCAGGCCCAGGATTCTGCGCCGAGCAGTGCGTCTTCGAGACCAGGTGCACCGTCGCCCTGCTCGCGCAGCCTCGCCACGATCGTTCGGGCCAGGTGCGTCTTTCCGGTGCCCGGCAGGCCCGTGAGCAGCAGGGAGTTGCCCGCCAGGCAGTGGTTGACAGGGTCGTCCACCTCGTTCCACCTCCTCCTCTCAGCCGGGCGCTCGGCCTCCATGCGCGGCGCCTTGCTGCTGCCCAGCAGGGCCTTCGGGCGGCGCAGCGCCTCAAGCGCCCGCAGCCGCTCCGTGAAGCGCTTCGGCAGCCGCTGCGTCAGCAAGCAGTCCGTCTTCACCTGCGCAAGGTAGCGCGGCGGCGCGGCCAGGATGCGCCGGGCCTTGGCCACCAGGACCATGCAAGCCAAGGATGGGGCGGCAGCCGCCGTTGTTCAGCAGCCTCCGATCGTAGACGAAGTCCCACACCGCGCCCCCCTCGTAGGCGAAGGCCTGTGAGAAGTCCGCGCTGCTGCTGCTGCACACGCTGTAGACCACCTCCGTGCTGCGCGCCCACAAGCCTATCATCGCGTTCACGCTGAGCTTGGCACGCGCTCGCCCTCAAGCCAGGCCAGGGCGCGCCGCAGCGTCGCCGCGCCGACGTGGCTCCGTGCGGAGATGCCCGACACGATGTGGTCCCAGCGGCAGACGCCCAGGCCCCACGTACGGCAACAAATTGAGGCAGGACTGCCTCGCATCGCAGCAGCCCTCCACAAAGCCCAGGTCCGGCAGCACGCCCTCCACGGGCTCAACGCCGTTGGCCGGGCAGGGAGAAGGGGGCCGCGTCCTTCTGGCACGCCTGGGGCTCCGGGCGTACTGCTCCATGACGCCGGGCGCCACTCGGCTCTCCAAGCTCGTGGGCTGCTCTTTCTCAGCGTCTTCTCGCTGTGACAGTCGCCGCACAGCGCCTGCAGAGATTGCGCGCTGCCCACGAAGGCCTGCCGCGCCGGCACGACGTGGTCCAGTCGCCCGCAGCCGCACAGGGCGCGCTTGCCGCC